CTGGCACTGCATATCATCTCTTGAGCACCTCCAGGAGTTATTCCTAAGAATAGTAAGGAATTTTACTGTAAGAAGTGACCCAAAAACAACCTCCGTTCCCCCCAAAAAACCACCTAAGTTCTAAGGCTTAAATGTACAGCATAGTGGCTATAGTTATAAATGCAATGCTGTATTATATTTCTTGAAAGTTGATAAGAGAATAGACCTTTTTTGGTTTGGGAACTTTAAATCTATTTGAGCTATTTTTTTTAACTTTCTGAAATTTAACATCACAGTGAAAATGGTGATGCTTTATAATGCTAAACTGGCATTTTAATAAACTTACATACCGGAAACCAAAAGTACTTTAGGAGTTAATTTAGGGAGGGTTTGGAATATATTTATAATTCATAAATTAGGTTAAAGCATTTCTCTTATGAAATAAAATAGATTATTCCTGGAAATTTTCCTGGTGGCTTGTTGCTAAAATATAAAGGATTATATATAAAGATTGGACTGGAGCGATAGCACAGCGGGTAGGGTGTTTGCCTTGCACGCGGCTGACCCAGGTTTGATTCTTCTGTCCCTCTCGGAGCATCCGGCAATCTACTGAGAGTATTCTGCCCACACAGCAGAGACTGGCAAGCTACCCATGATGTATTCAATATGTCAAAAACAGTAACAACAAGTCTTACAATGAAAACATTACTGGTACCTGCTCGAGCAAATTGATGAACAACGGGAGGACAGTGCTACAGTGCAATGCTATATATATAAAGGTTAACTGCAAATCATTGTAATTGGAAATTGTTTTGTTTCCCACCTTGATGGAAAGGAGAGTGGATTACAAGCAAATTTGTATTTTTAGATTAAAATTGCTTTCTATACTATCCTACTACTGTAAAACAGTAAGTGAAGTCAGGTAGTTATCTGCTTCCACTCCACTTGCAAAAAGAAAACAATATTTAAATATCTGTAAGTACCTTCACTCTCGGGCTGGAGAGATAGCACAGTGGGTAGGGTGTTTGCCTTGTATGAGGCCGACCCCGGTTCGATTCGTCCCTCTTGGAGAGCCCCGCTCGAGCCAATAGATGAACATTGGGAGGACAGTGCTACAGTGCTACCTCCATTCTCTATTCAATTCATTTTATTAACAACCTTATTTAGCACTAGTAAACTTACTGTGTGTCATTCCTCATTCTCAACCTGAGAATCATTTGTGAAACTTTTAAAACAAATCTTATATCTGTTAAAGGTAGAGGGAGTGAAGCAAACTCGGCAAAGTTTAAGTCAGAAATTATTTTTTAGCTGATCAGAGACCGTTCACCCTATGCCCAAAATTTGAACAGAAAATTAGCCCCCCAAACTGTCTTTCTGAGCTTTTTATGAATTGGATTCAACTCCTATTACCATGCTAAGCAAACAAGCAAGCTAAATAGAGAAGCAAAGATATGCACTTAGCAAAGCAATCTATCTATTACAAAATAGGACTATTAGTAGGACTATAGGTAAACAATTCATTGATTAATAACTCCCCCCCAAATTAAGAAACCAAAGGTAAGACAGTTAAACAATAGTAGAACATCAAAACAGACTAGTTAGACAATAGTTAAAAACTGATTGATTGATAAAGGAACTAAGCAATAGGTTATTCTCTTTATTCATCTTCCCCCTCACCCCCTGCATTGCACGTTTGTTTTTCTGCCAAGAGAGCATAAGTCCTGCCTATCTGTCAGATGAGCACACATCTTGCATTTCTGCCAAGCTCACTTGCACACATCCTGCTTTTCTACCAGGTGAACATGCCTCCATCTTATCTGTCAAAGGAGCTCACATTCTGGGCTGTGGAGTCAAAGACAGTTTGCCTCTTTCTCAAGGGAACGGGGTCTGTTGGTCTTCTACAGTATTTAGGCCTCACTCTTACTTCCTCCCTGCTGGGGCTGAACCCCAGTCAGCTATGTGCAAGGCAAGCACCCTCCCTGCTTGTCTCTTGTTTTGCTGAAGGATTAATCTGTGCTTAACTTTTCACTTATTAGTTAACCACTTGTCCCTAAACGTTTAGTATTGTAGGAAAGCTATCGCTTCTGACGTTTTTTTCTTGTATTTTTGTATTTTGGTGGGGAGGTCACACTTGGCAGTATTCAGGGGTTACTTCTCGGGGTGCTGGGGGACTACATGCAGTGCCAGGAATTGAATTGTGGTTAACAATTGTGGTTAAGGGGAGCACCTTAACACCTCTGCTGTCTCTCTGGCCTTGGCACTCATTCCTTATCTTTGACATGCTGATAGCAGTGTTAAGAAGTCAATATATATTTACTCCTTCCTTGAATGGCACGTCCAAGAGTATGACTCAGGCCCCATCTCTCCTGAGGTCTTGTTGCTGACAGCCCTTCTAGACACTAGACTCCGATTTTATTTATTTATTTATTTGTAGGAGTACTGCTATGTATTCAGCCACTGGTTAGCTGATTGAATTCGGCATGAACTCCACCTCAATTTTTTATTTATTTATTTTTTCCTTTTTAAATTTATTTATTGAATCACTGTGGGAAAAGTTACTAAGCTTTCATGTTTAAGTCTCGGTCATACAATGATCAAACACCTTTCCCTTCACCAGTACTCATTTTTCACCACCAAGAATCCCATCATACCCCCCCCCCCCACACACACACCCCTCCAAATGCCTGTGAGGCAGATGATTTCTACTTAACTCTTCTCTACATTGATTACATTCATTATTTCGACAAAAGATGCACCATTATTGTTTAGAGTTTCCCCCCCCCCAACAATCAGAATTGCTGAAAAGGCATTGTGAAATACTTTGTTTTCTATAGCTGGTTATGAGAATCATATAATCTCACATGGCTGCAATGGCAGCCTCATGATTTTGGATTTCTGCAAAGAGCCAGATAATTACGAGATTGGTTTTTGTGTGTCTGGTGTTATGGACGTGCCAGGAGAGCCGCTTGTGGGGGGTAACTTATGACCTCGGTAGAGCGTGAAGGATGTGCTGGTACCGCCCCCCTTCCCATGAGACTGCAGTTGCCCCATCACCGCTGGCTCATACCTGGCTTTCCTATAAGCTCTGGCCGCCTTGCTGCCAGGGGGGGGAAAGGGAGGAAGGGAGCAACACCCTTTCTCTCCCAAGGAGGCATGGCACCGTAGTTTAATGCATGGTCCATTCACTTTTCTGCCGTAAGCTGCCGGGTTCTAGATTAAGTCCTTTTGCCTCTGGAGCCATGGCCATGCCAGAGAGCTGCTTGTGGGGGGCAACTCGTGACCTTGGTAGGGCGTGAAGGACGAGCCAGTACCGCCCCCCTTCCCATGAGACTGCAGTTGCTCCATCACCACCAGCTTATACCTGGCTTTCCAATAAGCTCTGAGCTGGCGGCCACCTTGTATGCAGTCCAGATGAATTTCTGCCAAAAGCCGCTGGGTTTCGAGATTTGTTTCTGAGTCTCCAGTATCATGGCTATTAATCAGTTTGATCAGGAGCCAGAGAGGCCATTTGTAGGTGGCAACTCCGGGTCTCGTTGGGATGGGGAGAAAGAATTGGCTCCACCCCCTTGTGGTGAGGCATCTTGTGTCTCATCATTGCAGGCTCAAACCTGGCCAGTGGCCTCTGGAGGATGGCAGTCACCAGGCCGCCAGGGGGAACAGGCCAAGGCACGAAACCTATTCCCACCTGGAATGGCCCAGCACCAGTAACCTACTGCAGGAACAGGACGCATTTCTGCCAAAAGCCGCTGGGTTTCGAGATTCGTTTCTCAGTCTCCAATATCATGGCCATTAAGCAGTTTGATCAGGAACCAGAGAGGCCATGCCTCCAATTATATAGCTGAGCTGGAGGTGGTTTGTGGGTGTGTCTCCCACATACCTAACTTTTGGTTGTTTACTTTCTTGGTAAACTTTGCCCCAAGTTTTTGGGGTCTGGCCAAAGGCACAGCAGCAACTTTGGGGTATCTGAAAGTCTGACGTTGCCATCAGGCTGCTGATGCATTCACCTCACAGGTACAGATTGACCTGCTGGCGGCACCATACCCCCTAGACTCCGGTTTTTTAAGTCACACCAAAATATTGGTGCCTACACTGATTGTGTGTGCGTGTGTGTGTGTGTGTGCGCGCGCGCACGCACATGCGCGCACACGTGGGCCTCTGCTCTTTCCTGCATCTCACCCTGACTTTGCATCCATTCTGGCAGACATTCTGGTTTCCTTTTCCTCCCTCTGCTACCCCTTATTCTCCCAGGGCTTGACAGCAGAATTTAATCTCTTGGATTTTTTACTGTCTTGTGTTCTCAAAGCTGCCAGAGTAAGATATACCTGTCTCTATGCCTCAGGGTAAACACTCACCCTGAGCAGAATCTGTCCCAGTAAACCTAAATTTTTATACTGTCAATCCTCTTCTAGTACTGACATGGTAGGAATCGATGAAGTCAAAAGCAAAGGATTGTGTGGAGAAGCTGATTCAAATGTGCTCAGGTTCCAGTTACTATACACATATTTAGCGTTTTGGGAAGAGGAGAAGAGAGGGAAGATGGAGTATTCAAAAAACAGAACATGGGAATAAAAGCAGGAAATTGTGTTCTACTTTTTCCAGGCTAAGGCAATGAGGAAGGCTCAAAGTCCCCTTGACCTTTCACATTTCATTGCTTCTCTTCTTTCATCATAGTTAACACCACTCTGCAAGGTTTCTTTTGGCAAGGCCATGGACCTTGAAGTCTGAGAGACTCACCCGGTTCTAGTGGACGAACTCCAGCATCAGATCTCAACAGTCAATCATCTCCGCAGGGGAGCCCAGACCCGCCTATTACTCAGGCCACACCCACCCAAGTCACCCTCCCTCCCTCCTCAAGGCTCCGCCCCAGGCCTGGCTGAACAAGATTTCTATTGGCGGAGAAGTTGTTCTGGTCCCGCCCCGGAGAACGGCGATAGGTTGAACCCGAGTGGGGCGGTGGTGGTTGGCTGCTCCGGGACCGGTCCCTAGATGTGCCTGTCAGAGTGGCTGGCGGCAGTGGCGGCCCTCGGGGCTGGGTTGTCAGTCAGGGAACCGAGGGGGAAGATGGCTTGCCGCGACCCGATCTGCTAAGGAAGGAGGGGTGGGCAAGTGGTGCTACTACTCGGGAGAAGGCAGCGCCGCCGCCGTCGCCGTCGTCACGAGCCTGACAAACCGAGGCTCTGGAGGTAGAGTTGGGCGAGCCGCTGGGGTGAGTCTGGCGGGGCGACCCGCGCCGGGCGGGCCCCCGGGGCGGTCGGCCCCTGAGAACTTTTTTTTTTTTTTTAATTTTTTGTCAGGGAGGAGCCGGGGCGAGGCGGCGGCTGCCAGGGGACCGCGCCTGGGTCCGCGGGGCGGCCGCGTCGTGGCGGCTAACGGCTCGGTCGCGCGGCGTTGCGGGTAGGCGCGCGGCGGCGGGCGCCTTCTCCCCGCGAAGTTGGCCGCTGCCCGCCCGCGGTCCGGGCGGCGGCAGCTTTGTGCGCGCCCACTTGGGCTTTTCTTCTTGGGGGCGAGGAGCGGTGCAGCCTCGGGGCGTGACCCGGGCGCAGCCTCCTCAACCCGGCCCGCCGCCCTTTGACGATCTACCGGGGCGGATCTCGAGGTGGGGGCGAGCGGGAGACCCCCGACCCTCCCCCTCGCCACCCCCCCCACCCCCAGTCTTTCACTCCGCGGCGGCGGCTGAGACGCTCTGGGCTCTCCCACTCCTCCCGCTGCAGCGAGGCTGTCTGTCGCTCGCCGTCCGGTCTTAGCAGCCACAATGGTCCCCCTCCACCGCCCCCCGCTTCCTTTCCCCTGAAAGCGGCAGCTTTTCTGTGCCCGGGACTTGGCCGCCTCCCCCGGCAGAGAGACCGGAGGACGCGGCCGCGAGTCCTTTCTTGCTTATTGCCTAGGAGAGCTCTCCTCTTCCGCCCGTATCCCCTTCCATTCTACGAGTTTCTCTCCCGGGGGCTGGATTTTCAGGATACCCTAGAGTCGTCCGGGTTTTGTCTCGAAAAATTAATTACCAAAAAAAAAAGGGGGGGGGGAAGGTTGCATTGTAAGCTCCCCACCCCCCAAGTTTGCACGTTTCAGCCAGACTGGGTATCCGTCCTTCAGCGTGCACGTGTGCTTTGTATCCCCGGAGTTTACACGATTCCCGAAAGGTGAAAAATTTTGCCTCATTGGGTTCGTGCCGCACGGAGCCGGTTCTCTGACAGATGACCTGTCCGTCTGTCAGTCTGTTACACGCCCCGCGGCCGCAGGTTCCTCAGGTAGGGGGAGTTGGCTCCGCTGCCGCAGAGACCGGGCTCCGGGCATGAGCGCCAGGCTGCCCTTAAGCACGTTGTCCACGGGGCTGCTCCAGTGGCTTTCGGAGCTGGCATGTCACCGCCTTAGTTCACCCAGCTCTTCACAGTTTGTGATTTTTCAGCTCTGAGAATCTTATTTGCATACTGTCATGAGGATCTCTGTAACCTTGAGTCAATGTTGATAGTCCGGGGGAAGCGTGTTTTCTGTAAGAACGTTCTGTTAATATCCTCTGGCAGCCTCCTCCACTCACCCACCACTGTCTTTGAGGGGTTTTTTTTCTTTTCTTGTTTGTTTCCCTTTTCTTGAGGTTAATGCATTTTAAGGTTTACAAGATGAGCATTAAAGCATCATATTTTTTGAAATGTAGGGAAAAGCAAAGAGAAAAACATGTCTTGTAAGATGTGCTTGGTCACAGTAGCCTAAAAGTCAGATAATTTATTTGAAACAAGTAGCAAGGGGGAAATCATCACAGCTTTAGGAAGCATTTTGAATTTGGTGTATTTTATTTTTGATTGACTACAATTATCGCCACAAAGATTATAAGCATTCTCACTTTTTCACCATGAACACTACCTGGGGTATGTGTATATTAGCGAGGTTATCATGTTATCCCTGAAATACTTTCTTGGTTGTATTTCTATTTATGAAATCTGCATTTTTTTTTGAGTGGTGGTGTTTTGACAGAGTTTAAATATAGTCAACTTTTATTTAAGATTTTATTGCGTATCCTTAAAATGAATATTAAAAACAAATTTTAATGTAAGTATTTAAGACTTCTTGGGGGTTACATTTTGTAAATAGTTGGAATCATGTCACTGCATTGGATGAATAGGTACTAGGAATACATAAATGAATGTCATTGTGCTTGTCCTCATGGAAATGTGTATTATTTTTAAATATACAGGAGAGATAAGTAAATTCTAATACCATATGACTAGAGATACACCTGGTATAATAAGAGCAGAGTGGAATCGAGATAATAGTTTTAAGTACAGTATAATTTTGCCATGTGATGGAGGTAAGCGAATTATTTTACAAGAGGATATAGTAAATGAGAAAACAAGGAAGCATGAGAAAGCCATGTTGCATAGGAAATTATTGTAAATGACAAGTTCAAAGTCAGTGACACCGACAGTGACATGTTAGGGGTTACTCCTGGCTCTGCACACTGGAATCACTCCTGATGATGCACAGGGAACTCTGTGGGATGCCAGGGATTAATCTCAGTTAGTAGCAGGCCTTAACCCCTGTACTATCTTTCTGCCCTATGGGCATTGCCCATTTAGCTAACAGCATCGGATTGAAGGTGATTACTAAGAAGTCATTTGATGAATTTTTGTTTTAGAGCCTTTTCTAGGGAGTAAGGCAGAATCGGACAGAGTCCTGGTCACTTTTGCGGAGAAAAGGAGGAATCAAGATGTTGGAGATTTGACTTGGTTCAATTAATTGAATGTAAGGAAGCCGAGCAAATAGGAAAGACAACAAAACTTACATTTTGACTTTGTGAATTTGAAGAAACTGTAACATTCCAGTGAAGATGTAGGTAGATGTTGGATCTATAGATGGGAAATTTACAGAGGCAATCAGCATTGAAGGGAAGGTGATTGAGGGGTGAATTGAAGCTGTATTCATTTGGTCATATTGAAATTACTCTGGGAAAGTATTTAGCATGATAAAAGCAGCGTCCAGAGAACAGCCTCTGATAAAAAACAGAAACAGATGGAAGGACAGAATGAAAGAGAAAAAGTTAGAAGGAACACCAGGAGACATATTAAGGGTGGAAAGATCTTCAGATAGAGGGGAAATAAGTTAATGATTTTGAATGCTATAAAAGGTGTCAAGAGAGCTCTGGGGACAAGTAAATTTGTCAGGAGTCCATAGGTGGTGACATTAGCAAGTACACGTTTAGCTGAGTGTGGTTTAGAAATCTGTCTTCAGAAGATGAGAAAGAATGGGTGATGATAAAGTGGACATGCTTCAGTGAAGTATTTCCAAAGACTTGAGGAAGGAAGAGATTAAATAGCTGTAGACCAGTGACTCTCAATCTCAGCTGCACATTTACAGTCAGCTGAGGAATTTTTGAGAATTCTGATTTTCAGGGGAAACACTATCATTTTCAAGGGATACAGATATCAGTATTTATTTCAATAGCTTTATTGAAGCATAATATTTATATAATAAACTACACATTTAAAATACACAATTTAATGTTTGACATGTGTTTAGACTCAAAACTATCACCACGGTCAAAATTACCATATTTATCACTTTGAAAAAATTTTTTTTCATGTCCCTTTATAAACACTTAGTTTCATCCCTAGAAAACCACTCATCTAGTTCCTTGTTTCTACATCTTTGCTGCATAGATATTTTAAAGTTCTCTGGGCAATTCTAAGGTATAGGTACAGTTGAAAGCAACCACAGAGATATAGGTGAAAGATATATCACTTTTCTTTCCCTTTCTTTGTTTGCTTTTATGGGGGGTGTGGGGAGAGGGCACACGCAGCATTGTTCAGGATTTACTCTTGGTTCTGTGCTCAGGAATCACTCCTGTTAATATTCAGGGGGACCATATGGAATGCCATGATTGAACCTAGGTTGGTGAATGCAAGACAAGGACCCAACCCTTTGTACTGTATCTCTGTTTCTTTATATATATATGTATATATGGGCTGGAGCGATAGCACAGCAGGTAGGGCATTTGCTTTGCATGCAGTCAACCTGGGTTCGATTCCTCCGTCCGTCTCAGAGTGCCGGGCAAGCCAGTGAGAGTATCCCACACGCATAGCAGAGCCTGGCAAGCTCCCCGTGGCGTATTTCATATGCCAAAAACACTAACAACAAGTCTCACAATGGAGATGTTACTGGTGCCTGCTCTAGCAAATTGATGAATAATGGGAGAACAGTGCTACAGTGCAGTGTGTGTGTGTGTGTGTGTGTGTGTGTGTGTGTGTGTGTGTGTGTATAGTTCAGGAAGGAACAACTGTATTAGAATTAGGGCCCTATGGCAGTAGAAATTGTAGGAATTTTTTTGAACAATGAGATAGGAGATAGTACTGGATGCAGTATCTCTAACAAAGAAAAGGATGTTAAGAATAAAGTCTTTGTTATTGGCATTAAGTTGTCAACATGTAGCATAATTGGTTCTCTGAAATACACAAAAACATTAGAAAGCATCTTAATATTGTGAAAATGAATTCTTTCCGGAAAGCTCTTTATTTTTTTAAAATTTAAAAAATTTTTTTTATTAGTGAAACACCATGAGGTACAGTTATAGACTTACAAATTTTTGTGCTTGGGTTTCAGTTATACAAGGATCAAGTACCCATCCTTCCACCACCACGGGTCCCAGCATCCCTCCCACCAGAAAGCTCTTTAGATGTAGCCCAAGACCCCTGGGATTACCTTGTAATGTTTTATCAGTTTTTGGAGAGGAACAGTTGGAATTAGCAGTTTGACTACTGTTTATCAAGAGGGAAATATTTCCAGAGTACTTCGGTCTTCTTGGAACTACATTAAATATTTGCAATGAGCAAAGAACAGTTCCTATTGAAAATCTCCTGTTTAAGATATCTTTGATCAGAAAAAATTGTTCTTGCTTGCCTTTGGATATATATACCTTATAAATACATTGGAGTAGAGTGCCGTTCCTGTTGACCAAATGAGACAGAATATTTATGATTATCCTAGAAAGGTAATGCTTGTATTTTTCCCCATCACTTAAAAGATTAATAGCTAAATATTATTTCTCATTGTACTTAATCATAAGTAAAGGTGGAGTGCAAACTTTGGTTTAATTATTGCAGTTCTTTCATTGTGATTATCATATCAAATTACAGGTTCACATAGACATCTCTAGTTTTGGTGGAGCTTCAAAGAGTTGGAATATTGGTGTTAGCATGAATTACAATACTCTGGTTACTC